CAACCTCAACGAGAGCGTCACCCCCGCCGACCTGGAGAAGGTGTTCGCCGACCACAAGATCTCCTACAGCGGCCCGTTCCTGGTCAAGTCGGGCTACGCCTTCGTCGACTGCCCCGACGAGCACTGGGCCATGAAAGCCATCGAAACTTTCTCGGGTAAGCGCACGCCGACGCCCCGGGCCCGAGAGCCCCGTCTGCTCGGCTCTGGCCGCCGCCCCCCACACCGATCGCCCCTGCGCCCCTCCAAGCACCGGTGTCTCCGCGCCCTTCCCCCAGCCCCGGATGGGGAGCTCGGGGTTCCCTTTGCCTCCGTTCCCCTCGACGGGGGCGGGTGCCCTGGCTGGTGGCCGAGGAGGAGGGGGGTTTCGGGGCGCCCAGACGACCCCGATCTGGGCGTTACTGCCAAGTCCAGCCCCTTCCTGGCCGCCCTGGACGGGCCCCCAGTTCGAACACCCCCGGGTGCCCTTCCTCGGTTTTAGGCCTTTCCAGCACCCCCTCCCCGCCGTCTCATCTCTCCCAGCTTTCCCGGCGGACTGCACCCCTCGGGCAGAGCCCAGGAGGAAGGGGCTCCCGCGTCCCGCCCAGGGCCCGGGGGCTCGAGCCATTTTGATTTGATTTGAAAGTGGGGCGTGAGCGGGTGGCGCGGCGGCGCGAGGCGCCATGCTGCTTCCGAGACGCCCGCCCGAGACCCTACAGCCCCGGGGCCCCCGCACGCCCGACAGGTGCCGGCCCGAGCCTTTCGCCGGGGCTCCGACGAAAAATAAAGTTTGTTCCCCACCCCACCCACCGCCCCTTTGCTAGGAGCCGGGAGCCGTGAGCCGTGCAGGCCGGGCGCGCACAAAAAACGCTCTCGCACGTTTCCCAAGTCGACTCGCAGAGCGATCCACACAGTTCGTTTCCGTGATTAAAGCAAAAACTAAGGAAACGAATTTACAGGTTCCACCATTCCCAGAGCAACCTTTTCCTATTGGCCTGCCGGACCGCTGGCTGGATTCCTAGGACCGACTGGGATCCCAGGACTCTGGTGTCTCCCCTCCCCCTGCCTCCCTGGTCCCGCTCACTCCTGTATACCCACGGTTTTTTAAAAAAATCTGTTTCAATCTTTAGGGAAAGTGGAACTGCAAGGAAAACGCCTAGAGATTGAGCACTCGGTCCCCAAAAAACAAAGGTAAGAAAGAGCCCTTGGGAGGGGTGGGACGATGGTGTTCAGGGGTCCATGGAGACTCCTGGGGAAGAAACGCGTTGCGGGCCTTCCCACCCCAACTCCGGATGTTGGGGGCTGGGAGGGAAGGTGGCCAAGATCTTAGAATGAGTGGTTGTTGTTGGGGTGGGGGAGTTTGGGCTGAGGTAAGCTGAAAGATGTTACTTGCAGAATTACAGGGGGGAAAAATCAATGGGATGTAGAAATCTTACAGAGTTTCCTCAAAGTGTGGGGCCATTTTTGTGGGGAAGCTTAAGATCTCCAGAGTTGAGATTCATGGCCTGGCAATTGGCGCGGCTTCCTATCCGGGCTCTACGCAGCCCCCCCCCCAGCCATAATTCTAAAGTGGATTTAGGGTGTTCCTTTTCCAAATCCTAAGGGAATGTGCATTGAGAGCCCTCCACCCACCCCAAGAATCCTCTTAGGTCGTGCAGTTACTTATTTCTGTAACAGGGAGACAATACGTGTATGTGGCGATGTGTACAACTATATGGCTACACACGGGTATAATTCCCCCGACCCCCCAGTCCCTGAGGTCTTACACCGTCCCCTTCCCAACTGGATTTTCCAAAGAATCTGCTGTGGCCTTCCTAGCCTCTAGGACCCCCACCCCCACTCCTTTAGCCCATTGTTACTAGCGGACCATCTGGGGTGAGAGCTTTGTTCAGGCTGGGAGCTGGGGCTCTTTGGAGGGTCTAGAACTCCGTGGATGAATGGTGGGTGTGTGTGTGTGTGTGTGTGTGTGTGTGTGTGTGTGTATTCCAATACCCTTTCTCCTCCAACAAAATGGGGTACCTCTGTCATGCTTGCCAAAAATTCATGGTGGGTTTCAGATCTTTCATGGAACTCTGTTTCTGCCTTCGATCCTCAGACTTTAAACACACTGACAGTGTGTTTTCTCTCCCTGTCTTGTAAGAGCCCCCAGAAATCTTTGATTCCCCTCAACCTTCAACCCTTGTTTCCACTTTCCAGTTGGCTGTGCAGAGTAATCGAGCATTTTCTGGGTGGGTGACTGCCTTTTTTTTTTTTTTTTTTTTTTTTTTTTTTTTTTTTTTTATCTTTGATAAAGCTGTGAAAGGATCTGGTAGAAAGTTTTAACTCGGAGATCATCTGTTTGGTGGTTTATCTTGTGATATTTAAGTAACTGGAAAGTGTTGTACCCACATATGATCAATATGGCTTGCTACTATGTTTATAGAGCTTGTGACCTAAGCTCAAATGTTTGGAACACGCTTATTGGAAAGGTAATTAGAGTTAGGAATAAAGAGACAATAAAATTTGAAGGAAGGGAAAAAAAGTACATTTTGAAACATTTTCTGGAGATGAAACTAAGAAACAAACTTAACATCAGATTTATTGAAGAGTGTGGATATTTGGATTGAAAGCTGAGTGTTGATGGGAAATATATCTCTTCATAACCGGAATTCTGGAATATGTGAACATTTTTCCTTTTGCTTTTGACAATGGTTTAAATTTTAAAGGGAATGAAATGAAAAGCAAAGAGAAATCGCAAAATGTGATGAAACGGAACTCAAAACATTTATATTTTAATTTTCACGGCGCCCTGCATTTGTGGATCTTTTTCCTCAAGCTGTCTGCTTGCTTTTAAGCCATTTCTGGGCTCTTTCCCTCCAAAATGCTTTTACTGAGGGCCCTTTTCAGTTGGAATGGGGAGAGGGGTGTCTTGTGAGAAGACTGGGTTTAAAAAAAATCCCTTTCCACACCCATATTAAATTAGATCTTTTGTGTGTTCTTCCCTTTTCCTGATATGTTTTTTGAGTCCAAACATTGATTCTGTTGTCCTTTTCTTTCTTTTTTGTGGGGGGGGCACTGCTGGTGGTGAGAAGGGACTTCATTTTTCTAGCATGAATCAGTTTTTTTAAAGACCCAGGATTTAAAAAACAAAGAGTTTGTTTTCATTAAGTCAGTTTGCTGTATCATGTTCCGTTCTCTGAGGAAGCTTGTTTGTGTCTTCAGTTTGTGTGTTCTTGGTCTTGGCTTGTTACTGGCTTTTTTAATCTCAGAAGGAGAAAAACGAGTTAATTAAGGCTCACAGACTAAGCAAAATGAGCTTCATGTAGTATCTTTATATCTCGGAGTATATATTCTTTAGCGTCCACTGTTTAAAATAAAAAACTTTCCTTGATAAAAGTTACTTCCAAAGGAGTTAATGATTTAAATTTCCAAGAGTCTCATAGAGCCCAACAACCTTAATATTCCTGTTTTTTTTTCTTTAAAATTGGGGAAATCAAACAAAAGATTTATTGCAGAAATTACCTTTGATCAGCTCTGATTTTAAAAGTATTAATATATTTTGTTCTCATTTCAAAACCTCTCTGATAAATATAGTTTATATTAAGAAGTCCCATGACAACATTATATTCAAGCCAAAAATAGCAAATAATTTGAATTTTTTAAATGGGTAACATTAGATTTCTCTGTCACCTTCCCAAAATTCCTGCTTAGCCAGTGGTGGAATTTGGTTAACAATTTGGGAATTTTGTTGAGAATTCACACATGCATATGGAATCACCGTCCAGTGTTGGTAAGGAGTAGAACAGCCAAAAGCATTTGAAAAGCCTTTGTGGGTTTGCATGTGTTTACTTTTGAGAGACCTGAGTGGTCAGGTGAGGGAATGATCTTTGGGAGACTTGTTACTGAAGGAAATTGTCTTGTAATAATTTGGAACTTCTGTTATGCTTGCCACTGTGGGGCTGTGCCTTTTTTTAGAGGAATTCGATCGCAGATTTACTGTCAGTATCATCAAAATAAAAGGTGTCACTAGAAAAAGATAAAAGTTGCCGCACGTTTTTCTCAGTGGAAATATATTGAAAGTTAACAGTCCCGAGTTTGGGGATTTCTTTGAGTTGATAATGATAGTTCTGTCCTGTAGGCTGACTTAAAATGAGCTGGGCTAACGTATTTCCTTACATTTCCAACTAGCAAAATGAAAACTAGTCGCTTCAAAGGCAGTGCATCCTAACTTGAGTCTCAGAGTTAAAATTTCTGGTGTTAGTGGCTTAAAAAAAAAATCTGTGAAAATTGTCTTGTGAATGGATGAAAAGAGAAAATTTAAAAATTGCAGTTTTAAAAGATGATTTATACAGATTGTGAAGAACTCACTGGCTCACTAAATATTTTCAAAATAAGCTCAAAAATTTACCTTTAGGAATCTTCCATTTGATGGGAAAAAAAATACAAATGTATAGTAGTTAAAGGCTGAAAATAAAAAAAGAAGGGCATTTACAAAACAAGGGAATTGACTAGCCGGGGCGTGGTGGTGCACGCCTGTAATCCCAGCACTCAGGAGGCTGAGGCAGGAGGATCGCTATGAGTTCGAGATCAGCCTGGGCTACATAGTGAGTTACAGGACAGTTTCAACTACACAGTGAGACCTTGTCTCAAAAAAAAAAAAAAAAAAAAAAAAGTGAGAGAATGAAAGGTACCAGAAGAGAGATATTTTCAGATACTTTCTTTAATGGTTTTAAGTAGAGATTAGAAAGAAAGTGGAAAAATCAAGTAAGGTGAGAGATGTCACTTTGTCCAACACTTAGAACTCTTAGTGAAAAGGCTTTTCCATTAGGTTAGGCTTTTTTTTTTGGAGTGGAAAAATGGTTCTTAAATTTGTGTTTATTTTTGCAGAAAACACGGAAGTTGGTTTTCTGTCATTTCTAGCTTCCAGATAGCAATTAAACTTTACAAAGGTAATTGATTTTTCTTTATTGCTAAAAAGTCCTTAGTTTCTTATTCTGGTGGTCAGTATTGCAAGAAGAGATGTTCACTTGGGAGGTTGAGGTAGGAGGATCACTGTGAGTTCAAGAACAACCTCACCACATAACCTGAGCTACATAGTGAGTTCCAGGTCAGTCTTGACTACATAGTGAGACCCTGTCTCAAAAACCAAAAAAAAAAAACCAGAGATGTTCTTAAGGGCAGTGTATTTGTCCTGTAGAAGCAACGTGGGTTTCCATAATCCTTGAATTTTTGACCCGAATTAGAGACATGAAATTGAGCTCTGATGTTCTCAGAGGGAGAACATTTTACTAATGAAGGAAACCTGCAGTTACAGTTCCCATAACTAAAGCAGAGTGTAGCTGTCTTTTCCAAATGTATAGTTTTCATAGTGTCAGCAGCAGAGCTGTTGGTAGAAAGCAAGACAAAACATTGTCTTCATTGCATTTCAGAAATACATTGCCCTGGTGATTGGAAGGCTCTTACTTTGAAGATTCTGAGCTTCTACTCTTTCGAAATCACCTTAATATGTATCATTTAGAATCTGGCCTGTGTATGTGTGTATACTTCTGAAGTTTATTTTGTGAGTTTACTTATTCCAGAATGTGTACCAGCCATTGAGATAGGGCTAGTGCGTATACATTTTCAAAATTTCACATCCAGCTGGTTGTAGTGGGGCACACCTGTCATCCCAGCACTCGGGAGGCTGAGGCAGGAGGATCGCTGGGAATTCGAGACCAGCCAGGGCTACATAGTGAGTTCCAGGTCAGTCTCAACTACACAGTGTGACCCTGTCTCAAAAAAAAACAAAAAAACAAAACCAATTCCCACCTGGTTTAGTGGAAGGAAGACTAGCCAGTGCTAACTGTTCAAGCTCAGAGACTGGTGCTGAGAAGACGGGCACTGGTTGTACCGCCATCCCTGTGGGGTGGTTGATCCCAGGACTGAATGATCCCATGTGAAGCTGAGGCATCTGAAGAACTGGTGTTTCCAGCCGTTGGAATTTTCGTACCACCTTCTTTCACTCCCCTCTCTTTAAAGATTCTTAAGAGTTGCAGGGTTTAGGGACCCGGCAGGGTCTGCGGTCTGCACAGGGCAGGGCTACCTCTGCGTTCAGAATTCGCCTCCTCCCTTACCTGGTTTGATGAAAAAGGAAAAGGACAAGCAGCAGAGTGGCCACGGTGGCACCAGCGGGGTCCCCACCTCGCATCCGCCCACCTTCCTTTTGCGCCTCA